GGAAAGGGATCTGGGGGTGCTGACTGACAGCAGGCTCAACATGAGTCAGCAGCGTGGCCTGGCAGCCAAGAGGGCAAATGGCATCCTGGGGTGCATCAGACACAGCACAGCCAGACGGTCAAAAGAGGTGATTGTCCCGCTGCATTCAGTGTTGTTGCGGCCTCACCTTGAATACTGAGTGCTGTTCTGGGCCCCACAATTTAAGAAGGATATGGAGGTCCTTGAATGCATCCCGAGGAGGGCAACAAAGCTGGTGGGAGGTCTGGAAGACATGTCCTGTGATGAGCGGCTAAGGACTCTGGGTATGACTAGTTTGGAGAAAAGGAGGCTGAGGGGCCACCTCATTGCTCTCTACAGCTTCCTGAGGAGGGGAAGTGGAGAGGGAGGTGCTGGTCTCTCCTCCCTGGGATCCAGTGACAGGACACCTGGGAATGGTTCAAAGCTGTGCCAGGGGAGGTTTAGACTGGACATTAGGAAGCATTTCTTTACCGAGAGGGTGGTCAAACAGTGGAACAGGCTTCCTAGAGAGGTGGTCGATGCCCCAGGCCTGTCAATGTTTAAGAGGCATTTGGTCAATGCCCTTAATAACATGCTTTATGTTTTGGTCGGCCCTGAAGTGATCAGGCAGTTGGACTAGATGATCGTTGTAGGTCCCTTCCAACTGAAATAGTCTATTCTATTCTATCTTTTGATGATAAGAAGTACAATGGCATACTTTTCTATTTATCTTGAACATGTTGAAGGAGAGGGAAGATCTTAGGTTGTCTAAGTCAGCATTTACATGATAGTTCATGATTAGATTTCCGATCACAGACTTAAATTTAGGCCAAGGAGATGGAGATGGGCTCTGCTGTCTGCTTGCCCACACATCCTTTTCTGACTTTCATATTTGCCTCAGACTGCAGCAACTAGACGGGCATAAGAGTAGCGTCTTAGGCTGCTGCAGAGGATCAGCAGGACTTGTACCCCTGATGAAGAGATTCTATTAAAAAACAAGGTTTCTGCTATTTTAATAATAATAACAGAATACTGAATTATAAACCGTCCTGAGTATTTCTACTACTGGTGCTATTGTTGTACCTTCTGTTTCTTTACTGCTGATGTCATTGTATTTGAGTTTTATTTAATTTCTTATAGCTGCTTTTAAAAAGGAAATAACTATAGAATACAAGAATGGTTCTATGACCAGTTAATGAGATTTCTTTCTGACAACACAAAAGTTTAAGAAAAAAGTTTTTATGATAAATAAATTGTTTTCGTTTTCTTTTCAGGTACCACGATCAACAGGATGTTACTAGCAACTTCCTTGGAGCAATGTGGTTGATTTCAATAACTTTTCTATCCATTGGATATGGTGACATGGTACCTAATACATACTGTGGGAAAGGAGTCTGTTTACTCACTGGAATCATGGTGAGTGTTTCTGAATTTATTCATTGGATATGAGATTAAGTTTGCTGCAATTAATCCCGAAACTTGTGGTAGTCATAAAGAAATACTTATTTTCTGGCTTGTAGAGCATATATACTTACTTGCACCATTGCCATGGTCTTTCATTCCTGGTAATGGAATTGAGGGGTTTCTTCTTCTTTAGGTAAAATTTAGCAGCTCTGTAATGAAATACAGAGAAATAAATTCCACCCTGATGTAATTCGCAGCTTCAAAATCTCAATAGTCTTTCATTAAATGTTAAGGTATCATATCATCTCAATTATCTTTGGACATGTGTAACTGGACCATTTCTAATAATGAATCTACAGTTCTGACTTTTGTTTCTTAAAATTAAGTTACTCACAAACAAAGAAATGTGATGGTAGCTAATCTCCTAAAGCATTTTGCTTGAGTGTAGTTTTCGACATTATTTCTTGTAAGTCAAATAACATACTATCCATAGCATTCCATTGCTTTAAGTGGATTTATGTAGTAAAATTTTCACTCTAAGAGTTTTTGTTACCATTGATACAATGCAGCAAGTGTTAGTCCATGCATATTCAGTATATATTTATTAACTGTACTTAATGTCTGGTTTTAATTTTTCTGTATTGCCTCATTTGGTCAAAGTTAGGCAGGAGTAAGGCGATGGATTGTAATGTCTGGGGAATTTATGCATATCTACAGTAAATTAGAAGTAAAAAAGCCCTGCACTCTCCCACTTCTATTTGTATTAACTCTTATGTAAATGTCCCTGTGAATGAGAAGGGCGGAATGAGCATCATATATACTGTATATAAATGTTTCTGAATTTTTGCCATTGATCATATGTAATGCAGCTCCAATATCTACCTTCTGTTAAAACAGGAATTATGGCTGAAAACAAATGGTGTCAAATAGTTACCCCTTTTGAACAGGTGTTTCGGTAAAATTTTCATTTCTAAGAGTGTATTTTGTGTGCAAAGATTAAAATAGATCAATGCATTTTTGTAATGTTGAAGAATTTTTTCCAAATGCCTTTTTTAAAAAAAAAAAAAAAGAAACCTGACAGGTTTCAGGTCATTGACCTTTATTGAGAAAGACTTCCAATACATTTTGCCAGTGGTGGCAAATGCATATGTCCTTAAATACAGAGTTTGCAATGTAGTTGGAAGGTACAGGCTGAAAGCAGAGGAATGAGTCAGAAGGCTTTTTTAAAGGCTGTTGGCTAAGCTCAAATCTGCCATCTTCTGGGGTATTTGCCTTTGCTCCTCTTTCTGAGCTGGATTTTGCTGCCAGAGAGAACAAAATGTGGTGATAAGTTCATTACGAAAAAAGGAGGACAAGCAGTATATATTGCCACGGGGATGTGCAGAATGGGGACAGAACCCTGTTATAAAGCTTTCCATCTTCCCAGGCACTGTTTAGAAATGAGAAGCAAATACCTGATGATGCAGGTATCAGATCATTTTGTTCACTCAAATTGTTCAGCACTTTTCAGCATTTCATTATGAAAAAAACTTACAGTAAGAGAAATCTAGGACCTTCAAAGCCCTGCAGAAGTGCAATGAGAATAGTAGTATTGATACTAGTCATTTGTGGGTTTCACACTGCTGTTGTGCTAGTGCAAATGATAGCATCTGGATTGTTATTTTGAATAGCTGTGGTTAGGCTTATGATTTTATTATGATGAAAACAAGGTAAAAAGAAAATCAGAAAAACAGACTCCAGATTATTGCAAATGTTATTCTATACGCCTGTGAATGAACCACATAGAAGCTGAAATTTTAAGATGTATTTGTCATTTTGCTTATAATCGCACCATTTGGATTCAGATGTAAAATTATTTAGGGTGATTGCTTCCATTGCTTTGGTGAAAAACTAAAGTACTGATTATTATGTACCATTTACATACATGGCGTTTCTTTTTCACAACTGAAACAAGACTTGTAAAATGTATGGATGATACTCACCTTCGTGCCTTTGATTGTTTTTTTACGATAAAAATTCTGCAGCTGCTTTGGAAGCATGAAGGCTCCAATCAGAACCTCATGGTAATGAGTTTGGGATAAATACCTCCAGAGACAGAAAGCATTCTTAACCAAAAAGCGAGCCATGTAGCTAGTGTGTGATGATAGGTAAAACAATACTGAAAGCCTGACAATTACATTTTTAAGGAGATCCCCCATATGGCTTTGGCAAACATCATCTTTGAGAAAAAATTATGGAGCAATGGGAGGAAGTCAGATGTTGAAATTACTCTTTTCTTTCTTTTTTTTTTTTAATAAAAGATCTGAAAGATATGAAGTAGGAAACAGTGGACATAATAATAAAATATCTTCCAGCCTAACCTGCAATACCAAAAAGCTTATAGGTCTTGAATATAATTCTTTAAACCAGCTACTCTTCTGAAACTGGTACACTAACTAATGTTTGTTGTGGAAAAGGTAAGATCCTAAAGGAACAGACTTACAGATTTTTATTTCAACAGGAGTGGTTGATGGTCTAATTAAAAGATACACCAGGATAGTTGTTGAATGAATGTAACAAATAAAATCAAACCGTATATGTGATTTTAAGAGGGAAAATGTAATTCCCTAGCATCTGAAGTAGCATTGCTGGGTTAGTGCGATCAATACCAAATACCACTGATTTTTTGCTTTTGGATAAGGTCCCTGTTAAAAAGGGTGGAAGGGACAATAAATGGAAATACTTTTGAATACAAGGGTAGTTACACAGACCACTGAAGAGTTAATATTGGCTTTGCAAAACTAGTGGCTCATGGAGGGCTCCTTCAGTGTCTTGACCCCAATGGAGGGAGCGCTCAGGTACCCTGGCTGTCCTCCCACTTCTGCCTCAGGAATTGCTTTCTGTGCAATGGAAATTGGACTGCTCAGGCTGAACCCTGCATTGTGTTCCAGCCTTGGAAGTAGACTTCATGCAGCCTGCTGATGGCACCAAGTTGTGCTGGCTGTTGCAACTACAGCTACTGCTATCTTGACGTACTGGTTCAAGTGACATCTTTTAAATTCTGCAGATGCAAAGTGCTGGAAAATAGGAAAATCTTTACACATATTAGATTATACCAAAAGGAAAAAAGCCTTGAGAATCGTTAAGAGTAAGCCAGCAAAGAAGTCTGATTGATGCATTAGAAAAAATAAAAAAAGAAATAAGAAAGAAGGCAAATACTGAAAAAAATGTACTGTCGTACTGAAAAATTTACCTTTTGATCTTGCAAAACATTTAAATATGTGAAACTTTAATGAAAGTACTGACGCAGCATGATGGCATGGGTTAATGCAGAGATGCTTTACAGACAGGCAAGTGAAACTGAACTGAGTACCTCAACTCAATTACCTATCAGCGTTTTTCCAATGAGATTTCACTAGGCAGCAGTAGTAGACTATAGGCCAGGTGAACTATAAATCGGATAGCAAATGTGTCCTCTGCCCTCTGTATACATTAGGTAGGTCTGCAAGAGCATGATGGATGAATAGAAATGTCAGTGCTGTCACTATTATCAGAACAGGATATAGAGGAGATGGGGAGACCTATGGCATCTCCACCATGATGTGCAGCTTGTCAGAGTTTTGTCTGCCCACTGAAGATGCCATCCATGGTTGTCAGTGTACACCCAAGCAGATCTCGGAGATCATGGTCAGCACGCTGAGCTCAGCTACAGGTGGACGACTTTGTGCTGGTGCTAAGTGGAACTGCTTATATAGGCAGCACTTCTATCTCCTTAATGACTTTTTGGAGTTAGGGCCTTGGAGTGGTTTGCCAAATTTTCCTTGCTTTATGAGGAGTATAATGAAGTTAGCAAAAATTTAAAGAAGGGAAGTAGGAATTGGTAGAAGTGAAAGGAGGGGGTAAGTGTGAGAAGATATGGGAAGATGCATAATTATTGACTGTGAGATGGATAGTTCTTACAGATCTTTGTAAGTTTTTGTACCTACACAAGATAAAATAATGGCAATCCATTCTTCCAACTCCAAATACAAGGAGCTGTTGCAAGGTTTGGAAAGGACTCTTTTCCTTTTACGTCCAGCATTATGTGGAGAGCTAGTGCGTTTATTGCATGATGCAAAGCTAAGGATGCAGAATCTTCCTTCAGAGCCAACTGCCAACAGTTAGAAGCAGACATGGAGAATTAGTAGGTCAAATCTATGTTGCTACAATAAAAGGGATGGATGAGTTGCAATTGTCCTGTCACAGGATGCACAGGGTGGTTGGCTATAGCTTGGATGAAGATTGCTTTAAATGAAATCGCTATCATTTCTGAGTGTCTGCCTCCCTAATGCTGAAAGTGCAGCTTAAATACTTCTGTTATTGAAATGAACTCCAAAGAGATTGCTAAGCCTATGAAAGAACCAAGTATATTAGGAAAATTTTCTTAAATTTGCATCATAGAAGTGGACAAGATTAGATGTTTATTTTGGAAAATTTTCAAGTAGCACCTTTTAACTACAGGATTTGAACACCACTGATGTAGGTGAAGAATTCTTATTACAGTAGTCGCAATGCAGTCCATGTGTACCCAGCCTTAAGGATAGTAGTGTTTATTATTTCTAAATGGTGAACCAAAAATTAATCAGACCTGATTTTAATGCTTCTCATGCTATAGCTTTTAATGTCCTTGTGGAAGTCTGCATTAAGTTCGAAAGAATTACAATTCCTTTCCTATGCATCATGAAAAAAGTGATGAGGATGAGGTGTTTCTGAGAACAGGGGACTCTTCATCTAAGCTTAAATTGTGGTGTTTCTGTGTACAGTTTTATCTCTTTTGTTGGTCTTACCAACAAATACCGAGAACTATCTACAAGAGGAACATGGCACCTACAGTAGTATGGTTTTTAACCATATGATTTTTCTTGGTAGCAAAATCTGAACTGTAACATCTTTGAAATTTAAGTTACTAGATTGTAAGAAAAAAGAGAAAAAAAGGGGATTCTAAGTGCACAGTTAACATTGGCTGCAGATCTTCTGGGATGATTCCTGAAACA